CACACACACACACACAGAGTCGTGACAATATGCGTTTTGTGCAACTGTTACACAACACAAAATGCATAAAAAGAATTCATTCACCTTCCCGTGTCCACTACGCACCAGCGTACCCATATATACAACATTATCAGCATGATCGGAACCCTCCAATATGATTGCCAATGAATTCACATGTTTGTGGCGCGGCTCCAATTCACCAGTAAATGACGATTCATCTACTTGCAAATCGAATGCCTAAACAGAAGCTTTAGCAATTTAATAAAAAATCCCAGACAAATCGTCCCCACCCCTCTCTCAGTGCAACGATCTCAGTGGGATCAAGGCGTCCCATGAACATGAAACAGTGGAAATAAAAGCAAAAAGGAGGAAAAAAGATTGTTAATCACATGCAACTGAATAGGTCACGAGTGCATACGTCGAGAGCTGAAAAAGGTGGTCATTCCAAGATGGCTTGGAAAAAGGCTGAAGCCGCGGAAAATTCGTTCAATTCGACGCAAAAAAGTTCAAAAGCCATTTTACAGGTACAATGTTAGATTCAGCGGCGGCCTTTTGCGGCCAACTACCTGCAAATGTTCAAATCGATTTAACAGTAAACTATTCGAGATTTGTTCGAGCATGCTTTACGCACCCGAATTACCTTAAGTCTGCTTCTTAAGCAAATTACGGAAGGAATGACCATCATTTGCAGATTCCGGAATTCTAAAAAAGTAGCAAAACCTTTCAAAAAACAACCAATCATTCAAAAAAATCTGCCACTTTGCATTCTTACCTCAAATAACCGCAAATCAGCGGGTATCCGATCACCAACATTCAGTACTACAATATCACCAGGCACTAATTCTCGTGCAAGAAACTGCAGTTCCCGGCCATCGCGAATCCTGAAATGTTTTCCAAAAAAGTAATGCATAAATAATGCTAATCAATTACCACGACAACACCGGCCCAATCTGCCAAAAACAGCCACTGATGTGTGTGACCAACTGGCAAACATGATCAAATCGGTGCTCTAGCTCTTACTTTCTAGTTCGAGCGCATGGTGTAAGTCAATTAGCGTGAAAAAAAAAATCAGTTCCACTCCAGGCTGTTTAACTGTTCGGACGGCAAGTGGCACCAGTGGGCCTAATATTCAGCGGATTTAATGTCGTCTTCCAAAACAAGCCTTTTTACAAGAAATCATCAATAATAATAATAATAATAATAATAATAATAATAATAATAATAATAATAATAATAATAATAA